AATAGCAAAAACAGTTTCAGTTAATTTTTTTTAAACTAAAGTGCATCATCAAACTTGAAACAAAAACCAGGAGGGAAAATGGATGAGAAGTGGTCTTAACTAGTATAAAGCAGGGTGCACGTGAAAATAACACCATGTGGAATGCTTAAGTAAACATTCCTGGGAAGTAAACAGAGTAAACAACTCGGATTTCCTCTGGTTTGTGTAAATAGACTAACACCAGATCCAAATTTTGAGCTTGGCAACACTAAAATAATAATATTGATAAATAAAAGATTTTGTGAAAGAATGTGGTGTCATTGACTATTATTTCACTTAAACACATATGGAGAGAGAAAAAGGGGGAGAAGTTTTTCTTGATTTTGTTAATCTGCTGTCCTTTGTCAGTCTCGTAATTCCGAACTTTAGGGTATCTAGAGACGGGAATGTGCCAACACAAATACCGGAGAGAAACGTCTAAAGCATGCGGAGGACCGGTCGTATAGCCACGGCGGGTGAAGTCATGGCTGGGCTAACAACAAACTCTTAAGTAAGCATGTTTTAGATACCAGAAAGTCGAGGTTGTAACTGAACCAGCCGAGTAGCCAGATTCCTAAGCAACCAGCGACGTTCCTAGAAAATGAACTTCAAGTAATTTATATCGCAATCACGGGAAACAGAGATGGGGTAAACATGAATATTCTGTCAAGTTCAGAAGTTTATCGCACTCTTTGCTAGGTTTCTCCGATTGGGATGAAAAAAAAATATATTTGACTACACCAAATATCCTTTAGCTACCTTTTCCGATAAAAACTCCGAAAACACATAGTTAATCTTTTAAGTCAAGATTGGGAGTTTAGATATAACATTTCTGATCAAGTTTGTTGTTAAGTACAAAGCTACACAATGAGTTACCTGGGCTATACCCACCAAAAGTATCAAAACCAGTTGTTTTGTTTTTTTATTTTATAAATAAGCCTTTAAACTTACAGTTGAGCAGCTGTGTGTGGGAGGGTACTTGGATCAATTACTAAATAAAATACATTTCGTCCTACTGGTTAACTATATATAAAACTAATGATGTTTATTTAACAAATAAAACAACGTGTAATCACTAGAAAGTTGAATAGAAGCTCATATTTTATTTGTTTCTCGCAAAGATACACATGGGCTATCTGCGCTCTCCGTCCCATATTTAGAGCTATGGGAAGGCAGCAAATCAACTGTACACACCGCCAATTTTTGGGACAATCTAATTGAATAGTGGGATCTGTCTTCACTCTTATAACGCACTCACAGCTGAAAAATGCTAAGAGAGAATTATTATTTTGTGGCAACGAATCACGAATCAAGGACCCTCGAATTCGCAGCTCGGTACGTTAAACCCTGAGCCACGCCTGGCCCAAAACGGAAATTAAAAATTGATATTTCAGAAAACTTAAAATCGAGAAACAGAGAAATGGATATAATCACTTTTTAGATATAAAGCTTAGTTGATTATTAAAACAATAAATCCTTACCTTATGTTAACACTTCTAAACAGTCAGGTAACAGCGATATATTTACAGTACAATTACAGTTTAACATCGTAGAGCTTTATTAGATAAATTGCTAACCTGAATAAAAGTTCCCATTGAATTTTTTGAACATTGAAATTTACCCAGTGCCATTTTTTTTGTGTTGTGTTTAAGATTGTTTTAGCGCGAAGCTACAAGATAAGCAATGGAATGGAACACCGAATTTAGACGTTATAAGTCTTCAAGCTTACCGCTGAGCTGCCAGAGGGCGTCCGCACCTCAGAACGTAATATAGAATTACAATAGATTAATGCAGTTGGACATGAAGAAACATAAACCCTTTACTATAATAAAGTCTCCGAATAATAATAAACATTTATATGAAACCAAACCAAACTAACTTTTTGACAGAATAACTTGTCATTAAAATACATATTTTAAGATTTTCTCAACTGGTTTAATTTAGACTGAAATAAAAACTCCACCGTTTCTTCCCAAAATTTTACATAAACAAACATTCATTTTTAGGCTTTATAGAATATTCACGGCTGGCTAAAAGTTTGATAACAACGAAGTTCTGGTCAGGTCTGATAAGGTACTAACAGTGTAAAGGGAGCTTATCTTCAACAAAGCTGAACCATAGCTACAAGCAGAAGTTCGTATATAGTCCAATAGCTTACACAGCTTGACGGTCCTATACATTATCTTCCTCACAGTAGCGCTTTACATTTAAGAGTAAACAGAACTGGGACTAGGGTTAGATTTACCGTAGAAACTAGCACATTTATCTGCATGAAGCAGGGGGTATGGTTGCCCATGGTAACGTATTATATTTCCTCCAGTAAAGCGAGTTTTGAGAATTTTGATCCCTATTCAATTACGATGCTTTAAACTCAATACTGATTTTCAATAAGTTACTTCTTTTAAAAGAAAAAAATTGTTATTTTATTGATTTTTATGAGTATGCTAACAATTAAAGGGATTAACTAAATAAATAATTAATTTGAAAAACTTTATTATTTTGTTAATAAATAACATGAAAGTACACGCGTTTAGATTATTAGCAGCTATACGCTTTTTATTCGATTTTTTTCGGCATTGATTTCTTTAAACATTGCAGAGAATGTTTTGAATAAAACAACACTTTTCATAACGTTTGGTTGCTTGCGTGCACATTTGCCATCATTTTATTTTGTGTCACGTAAAAATCAAATTCTTTAATCAGTATGGAAATTAACTTGAACCAGATTATATTCAATTTATGAAAGATAGCAAGTACTTGAATAAAAATAACAACTGATCCCTTTTTCCTGGTAAGATTGAGGGTTTGTAATGTTAAAATTCGGAATTCGATTCCTGCGGTGAACACAACGTAATAGCCCACATCGCTTATAAATAACCACAAAAGTTTGTTTATTTTGAATTTCACGCAAAGCTACACGAGGGTTATCTGCGCTAGCCGTCCCTAATTTAGCAGTGAAAGACTAGTGGGAATACAGGTAGTTATCACCACCCACCGCCAACTCTTGGGCTACTCTTTTACTCTTTGACCGTCAATTATAACGCCCGCACGGCTGAAAGGGCGAGCATGTTTGGTAGGACGAGGATTCGAACCCGCGACCATTAGCTTGCGATTCGAGCGCCCTAACCACCTGGCCATGCCGGACCTAACCAGAAAAGTTCCAAACCAAAGTAAAGAAAAAAGACTGTTTGTTTTTGTTTACTGAATTTTCGCGAAAGCTACTCGAGGACTTTCTGCGTTAAACATCACTAACAGTGAAGTGATAGACTAGAGTGAAGGCAGCTAGTCAACATCACCCACCGCCAATTCTTGAGTTACTCTTGTCAGAACGAATAATGGGATTTGATTGTCACTATTATAACGCAACCATGGCCCAAACAGTGGACGCAAAATTTTGTTTTGGCGATAACGGGTTCGCGAATCACGGGACCTCAGATTCACAGTCCGACACACTAACTACTGGGCCACATCTCTGAACCACTGAATCTATAATGATTGTTCTGTTCATTCAAATCGTGAAATAATATTCACGACAGTGGTAGCTTTATTAATTATTTCTGTTTTCGCGGCTGAGAAACGCGAATAAATTGTTGTTTTTAGTCACATCCGTGAATTCCTATTGACTCTGAAAACCTTACAGAAGAATTGTAGCTATTGTCAAGATGGTATATATAAAGCTACGAGTCAGAAATGCTGGAATTGGAATAAGCAAGATAGGTTGGATGCAGTCGCTGCTAGAAACTAGTACTACCGTTTATACCTGAAATAAACAGCAACAGACAACCATGACATTTGGTGTAGTTGCCGCGCTATGTGAAATAGCTTTCGTTTCCACGCCTTAGTAAATTTAGCCTAAGGTAGTGAGACACCTGCTGGCGGGTGATGGAAGCATTTGAAAACCTACCCACATATGTCATGGTCAAATCTTTCCATACTACTGACTAGTTGAGTCAAGGTAACCATAATAACGTAATTATAATCCTTACGTCTTGAATTCCTTTTGTTTTCTGGCTAATAGCTCGGTAGGTGGGGCTGCAGTTAGGGGCGGGGTCTGATTGCTGCATAGGAAATAACAGTTTTGATTGACACGTGACGTTGAAACTAACACAAAAGCCTGACACACAAACGAACGTAGACTAATAATATCAATGGTTAGAAAGCAAATTTGGCTCAGTTCGTTAATCAACATTCAGCATGCTTGAAGAGTCATGTGATCCCAATAACTGCTTTCATAACTATAGTACTCATTATCTTGTCAGTTAACCAAAAATTATACACAAAAATCACAACGTCGACTTGGAAATAAACTATTTTTTCTTCTGTCTATCACTGTATTATTTTGGATAACCGCACCAATTATCAGAACTAAAATGAGCACGTAAGAACATGCGATGTTTCGCCTTGAACTTGAAAATCAAGGGTCGAGATAGAGCTGACCACGGCTATAAGTGGTTGTTTAATAACTTACCTATGAATCATTATTAACTTCTTCAAACATTCGTTAAAATATACTCCTGAAAATCCCCGTGTTTTAAAAACCACGGACGGTTCGATGGACATAATATTATGATCTAACTCGAACAGATCCAAATAGGGGTCCTTCAGATGATCTGTATTCACATTACAAGGGTTACATTACATTAGTTATCAAACTATATGCAACAGTGCATGCAAGTAATAATCAATACAAACGTCATGGACGGGTGATGGCAAAAACAGTTTATGCATAAAAAAGTGTATTCCGTTACACCGTTCCCTGGTGGTTAAGTCTTCGGATTTACAACGCTAAAATCAGTGGTTCGATTCCCCCTCTGTGGACACAGCAGATAGCCCGATGTGACTTTACTATAAGAAAACACTCTTTCATACCAAACTTCCAGTCGTTTGTTGCACAACATACATCACACACGTAAACACCTTTAAAGAAGAGTTAAATATTAATTTCCAGGGAAAATATCTATTTCCCCAGCTCCTGAACTTACAATCTGGTGTTTCGGGGCTCCACTCTTCGGCTGTCAGTGTTGCTTCCCCGCTGGGCTGTCTCCAGGGGCAGTAGGGGCTACTCCGTTTCACTAGAAAGAAGGGATTCCGTATATAAATTGATTGGCATAGTTGTCCAAAAATTAAAGGAAAGAAGACAGAAGTTTAAGAGAAAGCTTAATTATAAAGAATTCTTCAAAGCTGAAGCAGTTAAATATCCATTTCGAGATATTCGTCGAGAACTTTGCCAATGTGACAAGAAGCCACCAAAACTTGTCATGCATCAATAAAATCAGAGAAAGCTAAAAACATAAAAATGGTGAAGAATTTAGACTCACCTGCTTTCTTGGCTGCATACAAGTTAGCCTCCTCTTGAGCTTTATTGATATTCTTCTTATACCTAATCCGCTTATTGCCAAACCAGTTGGAAACCTGTATAAAGAAATGGTTGTTTACGGGTAGACTCAAACAAAATGAATTCAACTCTAAGGCGACTACAAATAAAACTGGTACATCAAATATTCGAAACTTGTAATGCAATATAAGTTACATAAATATACTTTAAAACTGTTTCAAAACACAGATCTTGAACAATTAGAAGTTTGAACTGTTGTCATTTTGAAGATGACACACCTTAAGTACGACTGTACATTTTTAATGATATGTTACAAGGTACTTTAGTTTATTTTTTATACCACTGAGAATTTGTTTCAAAACAACATAAGTGTTATAAAGAACAAACATCCGTGTTTTAATTCAACCATCGATCGATATATTTATAGAGAAACAAGACAAAATATTGAAAAACAAATTATATTTATGTTTAGGAAATCAAATATTAAAAGAAAAAGTCTCATTGTTTAGTAAAGGAAACCTTGAAATAACTTGGGTTTGTTTAACAGTAGTAAGTAAGATAAATATTTCGACATATATATCGATCCAGTAATCAACAGTTTTTAATTAAAAACAAAAACAAAAAACGCAATGGTTTTATGAAATTGCAACAATCATGCTCTAGTCAGAGTGTAAATTGATAATACACAAATGGACAAATAAGAGCGCTAGCACAATGTCCGTCATGCCCTAGCGATACCAGGAATCAAACATTAATAATGCAGGATTTCTAGAATAATACAAAAGAATTCTAATCGCAGATACTAAAATCTATCTATAAGTCCACTTGTCTTAGGCCTAACATTAGTTAAGCCTACATTAAGTACAGCCTATATTCGATAAAGAGATAAATTAACACTGTGACTTTTGTATGTTTTTTGCTTTGGTTTAGTTAGGACTAAACTTTACTGTACTTAATAATATCAATAAACAAACTTATGATGTTATTCTACGACATAACATTAGACCTTTTAAAAAATGTTGATAAGTTTTTATTATGCTGTTGTACAAAATGTTTATCAAAGCATATTTACATGCGCATTGAGATAGTAAGGTAAGCACGCATTTTCAGGACAGACAAAAACTGAGTATTATTACAATAGATTCTACCTGTGACACTGTGATGCCACATTTTCTAGCTAGCTCCTCCTTAGCTTCTTCGCTAGGATAAGGGTTACTCAGGTGGGAGTAAAAGTATTCATTAAGAATTTCTGTTGCTTGTTTACTGAAGTTTCGCCTTTTCCGTCTGCAAAAACAAAAAGTTCAAAAATAAACACCGCTTAACTGTAAGTCTTCATATTTCAAGACGTTTACTAATAATTTATCCGCAACAATATACTATGATAAAAATATTACAAGATAATTAAACATATCGCACGATTGTATTTATAGAAAACAACAACAAATGTTCAAGTTCCTTCACAGAGAAAGATCTCAGTACGTTCACCCCCTCCACACCCAAAATATCGATTGGCTGTTATGTTCCCGTTTTCTTGGCTACAAATTAATCTCAGATGTTGATTCTTGAGTCACCAAATTAACCAAGAAAAGTCGACAAACAGTGGCATGTTACGAATCATGTAAAATCATGTTAACTTTTTAAAAAATCTAACATGTTCAGGACACCGCCTTGCTGTAAATAATTGAGGACAGTCATAAGATTTATATAGTAGTTTCGACCTCTGACCGGAAGTCTACCTTATCTACAGTTAAGGTATTACACGGTTTTGACCAGTCTATAAAGCTTTATGTAGACCAAGAAATGTACGTGGAACTTAGGTGGTGTATAGAACTATATAGAATGAGATAAGGCCTGGTACTACACGGCTGTGACCAGTGTACAAAGCTTGAAGTAGAACATGAAGTGTGAGTGGAACTTAGGTGGTGTATAGAACTATATAGAATGAGATAAGGCCTGATATTACACAGTTGTGACCAGTCTATAAGCTTGATGTAGACCAAGAAATATGGGTGGAACTTAGATAGTCAGTTTTGTACATAGGAGGTCAAACCTTTTCGTTTGATGTATTTTACCACGCCCATAGTGTCATAGATTAATTTACTCTAATCCTGCCTAAAAGAATTTCAAGTGCCGCGGCTATTGAAGATTATTTTTTTTAAAGAGAAATGTTGTTTGATGTGATGAAAAAAAAACAGTATAATTTGTTTTAATAAGAAGTGTGAAAAAATTAAGTAATTTCACATTCAATAACACCCCTTAATCGTTTTAGGCTAAAAAATGAAACAAGTATTTTGAGGAGAATTTAACATATGCACAGTGAACACAGACCTAGCGTCCAGAAACCTGGATCTGAGAATCATGACAGCTTCGCACGTGCTCTGCTTCAATTGCACCTGGATGGAGTTGAACTTTTTGTGGATGATTTGTACCATCCGCTCTATCTCCTTGGGAGTGATGGGTCGAGTCCGGCTTTGTTCTCGGAGCAGATTCATCACATGAGTAGTAAACTCGTTACACGCCTACAGGTAAAAGAAAAGATAACGTTAAAACATCATTAATAATGATAATAACATAAATACAACCCCTGTGCTTCTTTCAAACCAGGTATCTATACATATAAATTTGAATCGTGCAATCAAGCCTAAGCACGGACAGGAAATAAAATAAGTTCAACTAAGTACAGAATATGATATTAGTGAGGATACACTGTCTATCAGATTGAACCTCTAATAGCGAACCTCACACGTGGAATGTGAAATGAAGAGTGATATTAGTGAGGATACACTGTATCAGATTGAACGTCTAATAGCGAACCTCACACACAGTGTATCCTCACTAATATCACTCTTCATTTCACATTCCACGTGTGAGGTTCGCTATTAGAGGTTCAATCTGATATACAGTGTATCCTCACTAATATCACTTTTCATTGCACATTCCACGTCTGAGGTTCGCTATTAGACGTTCAATCTGATACAGTGTATCCTCACTAATATCACTCTTCATTTCACATTCCATCTATCAGATTGAACCTCTAATAGCGAACCTCACAAATGGAATGAAATTCAAATTTCCAATAAAAGAGCAGTTCTAAGGCTCAGGCCGTTACACATCTAAACTAGTACTCATCTTCTGCGTTCTACCTGAAAATAGTCGTAATACGGGGAATACATTATTATTATGCTGACAATAGTCGTAGTACGGGGAACACATACTATTATGCTGACAACAGTCGTAGTACGAGGAACACATTATTATGCTGACAGTAGTCATAATACGGGGAACACATATTATGCTAACAATAGTCGTAATGCGGAGAACACATATTATGCTAACAATAGTCGTAATGCGGAGAACACATATTATGCTAACAATAGTCGTAATACGGGTAACACATATTATGTTGACAATAGTCGTAGTACGGTGAACACATTATGCTGACAATAGTCGTATTACGAGGAACACATTATTATGTTGACAATAGTCGTAATACGAGGAACACATACTATAATGTTGACAATAGTCGTAATATAGGAACACATTTTATTATGCCGATAATAGTCGTAGTACGGGGAACACATTATTATGCCGATAATGTAGTTATTAGTTTGTTAATGTCTTTTAAAGCGGTTTCTATTTTGTATATTAATTCTTTGTTTGTGAAACAGATAACAAGTTAGACATTCCAAGACATCGCCATTCAATTAAGGAAAATGTTATAATAATATAAACGTGGCATAGAATATATAATAATAATAATGAGAGACTAACCCTACTCTCGATGCAAGTCCTTCCAAATTTAATCAGCGCGTGGGATATGGTGTATGAAGCCCTGGTTGGTTCTAGGTGCCATATTTGACACGAACCAGCTAAATCCAATTACCCATCTTTTTTCTCAGGTTATACCAACTGCTGGAAGAATACAATTATCACTCCCACAGACGTATATTAAACCGCTGTGGTAGTCATATTCCACTTCACTTAAATTTCCTAGGAAGTTCGATTTTTTTAGTGTCATTCTCTGACTATTTCTTCCACGACGAAACTACTGTCTTAACCTCCTCAAACGCCTAATTTCATGAACATGTGGTAATCTACGTCACTATTAAACAATTACAAACTTATGCGAAGTTGCGTTATTTTGTAATATATAGCTAAGGAGTATTTCAAATGAAGAGTAGATTAATTTTGTAAAATGATTTTTGTTTTGTTTGTTTTGAATTTCGCGCAAAACTACACGAGCACTATCTGCGCTAGCCGTCCCTAATTTACTAATTCACCACCCATCGTCAACTCTTGGGCTACTCTTTTAACAAGGAATAGTGGGATTCACCGTCACATTATAACGCCCACACGGCTGAAAGGGCGAGCATGTTTGGTGTGACGGGGATTTGAACCCGATACCCTCAGATTGCGAGTCGAGCGCCCTAACCACCTGGCCATTGTAAGATCTCTTAAGAGTAATGATTTTTATAAAATGCTATCAAAGTCAAAGTCGATACAGAAGTATAAAAGAAAAATCTTTGGAATATTCGATTAGGGTTTTTGGGTGTTTTGTTTTCAAGAGGGTTCTTCAATAATAACTGCTAAAAAAATACTTATTTTTATTGAGAGGATTTACTTACTACAAAACTGGTCACTGCTTTTGTTTAATATACAAACACAGTTCATCAAGTGTACAAAACCTTTAGAAACAGTTTCCTGCTCCCCACACCTGGTGATGTCGTGAATTCAGTGTGAACGAGTTGTGGGTTCTTCTAGCCAACCTGAACGACGTAGTCATAGCGCCGGCTAAGGACCCAAAGTGCCAAGAAACATACGGGTCACTCTCAGACAGCCTAGTTTGGCATAAAACAGTAATAAACTCGGCTTTAGCCTTATTTTACGATTTTCCTGGCGGGAACTGAAGCGTTGGTTGATGTGGCGAGAGTGGCTGTTTGCTACGCTCTCCAACCTTGGCAGTAAAACATGATGACGACAGATTTACAACGGGTTCAGAACTTAAGAAAAATAACGGTTGGTAATCACAATTGTTTCTTAATTATAACAGGTAAGTACTCCAAGTCGCTAGGTGTGGTATTATTGTTTGAATCACTTCTTGTGATATCGGACTCACAGTTTCCGCTGGTTTTAACGATAAACATTGTACGTAAACTTAAATCCATTTAGAACAAGTAGTTTGATAAATATTTTGGGAGGAAGTGGTTTTAGACATTGTTACTAGCTCTATCAGTATTGTTTCTGATAAAAGTTGATTGCTGTTTGCTTTACCTTCCTATTTTGTGTCACTCATCATAAGACTCGGCAGTAAGCTTGATGGTTTATAACGCGAAATATCGGAGTACGATCCTTGCGGTGGGCACAGCACAGATAATCCTTTGCGGTTAACAAAAAATAAACAAATATAAAGTGTGCAAAAATTAAAAAAAAAGCGTGGTGAACCGAATTGAATATACGTATATTATAACCACGAGTATCTAGGAAATGTATTTTCCATTAAAGAGAAAACCTAAGTAATCTTACTGTTACACAGACGTAGTTAGCTAAATATTTCTTTTGAAACTGATATACAACAGACAACAAAACATGTCAGTTGTAATCATTTACACTATGTAATTAGACATTTTAAGAGCCATCCCTCTCTTGAGTTGACGGAAATGGGTTAAGAGAGAGAGAGAGAGACGTACACATGCGCGGACTAAATGAAGTGAACAAAAAAAAATGAAGTGATGACCATATTACGACTTGCAGAAGGGCGGAAGTCGACACACACCAGACACAGGTCAGGGTGTCGTCTGAATTAATGCACCTTTTAGAAAAGAAAAGCTACTTCGTGTTTTGCCCATCATTCCTAGGCTGCTGATTTATTTGTAGGCTTAAACCTAACGATAAGCTCTTCGCTGGTGTCGAAAGAGGAGAAAGCACGCGTGTAAATTATGGTCTTTCTGACTGCAATGGCACTTGGTCGCTGGGTCTTTGCAAGTGGTAATTAATGGTCTCGGCAGGGGGCGGTTGGTTCCACCTCTTGAAAGTGCTCGTCTCGAGCTGTCTCCCATGTCACGAGAACACAAAGCTTCGCTAACAGAGGGTGCTAATTACACCCTCGAACACGAGCCTTCGAGATCATCAATCATTGCGGAGAAAATGACAACGGTTTTCGCCTACATGAGTCCTTACGGCACTCAAACTGGACTCTTACATATATATCATATCACATAGACCGGCCACTAGAACTCACACAAGCCTGTGATTAATACTGAAGATGTCGTAGCTAAGTGTTTCACAAGAGTAACCGTACGTCTACTTTTACGTCTCTTGTATGAGGTCTCTTTTATTACACGTTCTTATACACATACCTTATTGTAGATAGCAGAAACAAAGCAAACACCTTTTCAGAAGTGTACAAGCTTATTCAGTGGTTAAAAAAAAAGTCTTTCATTATTTTTGGGCTTTCTGGAAACAAACGATAAAACAAATGTAACCCTCTATTGCACGCATTATGAAAATACGGTGGAGGAAAAAAATGTTTCCTTTGAAACTCTTACTTAAATACGTCTATATTGCACATAAAATGTTTTGGTACGTTATATGTGTGTACGTTACCTATGAATAACATTGTTCAACTGAGGAATCAATTAAAACAAATCCATGACTTATTTAGACTGTTAACTGGAAGTAAGAGCATTCAAGTACAGAATTTAATTGGACACTCAACGTTTCGCTTTACAGCTTCTCCAGGAATACTCCAGTAAAACACAGACCGTAACTCCCAGCACAAAGCTTCAATTGGTTTAAAACGTTTCGCTTTACATCTTCTTCGGGAGAGTGTTCTAATAAATCACAGATTGTAATTGACAGCACAAAGCTTCAATTGGTTTAAAACGTTTCTCTTTACATCTTCTTCGGGAATGTTCTAATAAAACACAGAACGTAACTGACAGCACAAAGCTTCAATTGGTTTAAAACGTTTCTCTTTACATCTTCTTCAGGAGTATTCCAGTAAAACACAGACTGCAACTGACAGCACAAATCTTCAATTGGTTTAAAACGTTTCTCTTTACATCTTCTTCAAGAGTATTCCAGTAAAACACAGCCCGCAACTGACAGCACAAAGCTTCAATTGGTTTAAAACGTTTCTCTTTACATCTTCTTCGGGAATGTTCTAATAAAACACAGAACGTAACTGACAGCACAAAACTTCAAGTTTACAATGTTCTATATGAGTGGATATAACGGCCACTTTTCCAAATTCAGTCGGTATAGAGGCTACAAGACATCTTTAATTACGGAACGTTATAGTTAGATATACGGGAACAAGGTGTAGTGCTCGAAACAGAGTGACCGGTTTGACATGTGTTTGAGAAAGGGGTAAAAGACAGGGGTTCGACGAGAAATCTCAGATGTACGAGATAACCGCATGAAGGAGGTAATGTGCTGCCATTACGAAACTAAAAACCTATTTCTAAATCTGTGTTATTGGTTATAGTAATAAACATGAATTTGTTATGTTTGCATTGAT